GCTTGTAAAAATCTATAGTTTAATCTTTAGTAGATAGTTCTAATATAAACCTTTTATTTTCCCTCTCCTGCACCTTTCCCGTTTGCATTTTGGACAGTTTGGTTTCTGTTTTTAGTAGTTTGTTTTGCAGTGTGCAGAATGGCAGTTATTCTGTAAGGTTGGGAGTGAAGTCACAGGTAGGAAAACTGTTCTGATTGCATTCATGACATACTGTAGGAGAGGGCACGCATTCCTACGCAGACAGCTCTCAGCTCTCTGTGTGTAGACGACTACTGGTCTATCTTGAATTCCACGACTGATTTTCTCTTGCTGCCCAGTAGGGTTCAAATTGGTATCGGTCTTTAAATTTTTCAGAGTACTTTCACATACCTGATCCCGTTTTATTTACATGCCTTCTGTTGGCGTGTGAAACATAATTAGGAAGATAAATATTCCGTAAAAGTATGTGCAAATATTTGTCCTCCTGATTGCAAACAGAAATGACTTGAGTTATCATCAGCATTGCTTCCTTCCGTTAATGTGGATAATAAAATGTTGATTGTGAGTATATTTAATTGTTAAAACCCTTTAGAAAAGCCATGTGGCCATTAAAAACCTTAAGTTTTTTCATCGCTTTTGCTCTGATAATCTCACTGCTGGAAAAATGTATTTCTAGTTGCTAATTGAAAAGAAGAAAAAGCATCTATACAGGGAAGATCATTCATTAATGAGTTATTTTTTAAAATAGTAATAATCTGTGTTTTCAGTAGTGGGGCAATAAGTAAGTAAATTATGGTTTGCCAACTCTCTGAATGTTTATACTGGTATTGAATGCAGAAAAATGCTTATTCAATAAATAGAAAATATGAGAATGTGTATTTTATTATCACAACTGTGTGTGTATAGTGAGTATTGTACATATGTATGTGATATGAGACCCACACACATGTACAAAAACCCAGAGAAGACACAAAATAACACAGCTGCTGTTAGGGTGGTGAATTTTTTTTTTTTTAAATATTCTTAATGTTCTTTTAGTGCTATAATATTTTTTTATTGGGCATAAGATTCAGGAGAAGGAAAATAGA